ATCTCATCGAAATCCGATCAGCCGTTTTGGCTACAAACTCTAACAAACATCCATCCATCCATCTATCTAAACTTTCGCATTTATAATATTACTATGAAGTATGATTAGTGGAGATACGTTTAACCGAGTCTATCGAAATGAATGTATTTCAGTAAACAAATGGAATTTAAGAGCGTGTGCATACCTGAAACAAAACTATCGCAAAACTATTTGGTCTCGCTTTGATTTATGAACTTATATGAAGGTGCGGACATTACTCGACTTAGTTGTGCAACTAAACTGTTCGAATGGACTGAGAAACAATCGACAATCGCACAACTGTTGTGCGCCCGCTCTAAAAAAGATGTTCATATTTTGATTTACAAATGGCAAAGATGTCGCCACAGTCGTATACCAGGAAGTGACGTCACACCGTTCGCATTTGTCTAACAATATCAAAATATTATGATCGCCAGAAAACTCGAATCCCATTTTTGATTAACGGCCGAGATAATGCGAGTTAGCGCGTCATTAAAGCACAGATAATAAAAAAAATCGCTGTGAAACGGGTCGCGTTGTAAACCGGCTAAAAATAAACTGTCTGTTGTTTTTATTTGAGTTTTAACGTGCACCTTGATGTTGCGACAGGCGTGTTTCACCTGCCTTACTCAGTCAACAGACGCGTCAAGTATAGCAGTTTAACCTACTAATATTCTTTAGCAGTTTACTTTGTGCTCAGTTAATTAGCGTAGCGTTTGAACGCTTCCTTGTCGAGAGCGTGTGGGAAATAAAAGAGAAAACGCTTATTGTATCTACATATTTTGGAGCATAATGGAGGTAAATATCAAGGAAAAATATTGACGCTTAAGTGCAGTTTTTGAGGAGTTTCTTAATCGACATAGACGACTTCTTAAAAAGATTGAGGCATGACGTCTACGTAAGAAATGTTATATATATTCTGCCCTGTGCTGGTATTATTTCGCATAACATCAATCTCATAAATTGCGTACAATGATGATTGTTGTTTGCGAACAGCGCTTCCTCCACCAGTTTCCGTTAACTGCAACGTGTTTATCAAGCCGTGTATAAATACTATGCAACATTCTTTCACAAAGTACATGCAAAAGGTTATGTTAGAATACATTAAATCAAATTCAATATTTACTATTTTGTAATAAAGTTGACACTTGTGAACACCAGGCCTGTGTTACCACTACCATTTATTATAGAAAATGGTGTCAGGTTGACAGATGAAGCTGAAGACCAATATGATTAAACTCACCTGAAAAAATAGGCAAAAGCAGACCCATTGGTAGTACTTGTAGATCTTCCTGTCGTTCATGTCCTCCTTGCCCTTCTCGCGGCTGTTCCCGATGCCGGGATAGGGCACCTCGACGCCCACTTTCTTGTTGAAGAAGCTCTTGAGCGTGTATGTGGAGTGGATCCAGCAGTAGGTGTTGAGCACGTCCTCGGGGATGTCCTTGGTGTGGATGCAGTCGATGGGGTTGCCGACGTACTGGCGCGTCGTCACGATCAGGCTGAACGAGATCAGCAGGATGACCGTGATGGAGTAGTGCAGCCGGAACACGGGCGAATCAATGTGCACATAGTTCACCTTTATAAGATTTTTTAAACCACGAAAAACGTCTAACATTTTAAATGCTTGAGTCCGATCTCACACTTTGTCTCGTCACCTCGACTAACATTATTTTTGTCTCGTTTAATCTATTTATTGTTTCGAAGCACCAGCGATTGTTTTAATAACTTTTTTTTTATTTTTAAATAGTTCGTTTGTTTAGAGTTCGATGTTCGTAAGGCACTTGTTAGATTGGCAGTGTGTTGGTTGTTCGTCTAGTTGCATCAGAGGCTTCGTTTGTGCTGATGTATTTTTTTTGGTATTTTTATGAACTTCAGCAAAGATATCATTGTGTCATATTTTCTACGTTTCATAATTCGGCGGGTGTTTGGGGTCGGCTCATTTATTGGTCATGTCCCCGGCTTGTGGAGCCCCGCCTCGGAATGTGGTCATCAGCGATGCACAATGAACAAACGTTGTTTCTGTAAAACTGTATATACTAAGAACTAGTTATGTAAACTAGAATACGAGGGCGGGATGTTCTGGACCAGTTTATGAGTTCACGCGTCGATTCGACCGGAGCATTTTTATGTTTGACAAAGTGTTAGTATCATTTACTTTTGTCAATCGGAACGGTCACTAATTTAGTATATAATTAATTATGGTAAGGTCGTTTTTCACTAAAACATGGCATGCCTACTGTGATGCAATTAAATCGGAAAATTTTGTCGTTGCCGCTGAACAAATTAATTCAGAATTATGCTGCCAAGATAATGGTGGCCGTATTAATGACAAGCGCAGATCTAGTCTTTAAATTTATACGATTTAGGTTTCGCGGAAACAAAATTTTAAACTTAATTAAACGCATATCTAGAAGATATCTTAAGGTTTCACCGGAGAAATGCATACAAAATTCCTGTACGTAAGAAATATTAATTTTTCTTTGTATGCGTGGTTGTATTATTGTGAATAGCGCTGTGTTTTTTGTTTTAATGTATTTTTACTTTTTAATTATACTTTTAATATTATGTAGTTCGTACTTTTTCATTTGTAATTTATGTTCTACTTCGGGTGAATTTTATTTGATAATCCGGTTTCCAATCAGATAATTAAGTTTTCTTAATATTTTCGATCGTCATCTTGTAAAGCACCTTTTTAATGTCTAGTAGTGAAATAAACTATAAAACTTCAAGACATATAAAATGTTGCTCAAAATCAATAAGACATAAAAATCTAGCAGTATTAAACTGTTCAAATATAGACCGAGTAGAGCACAGTCGGCGGATACGAGCCAACTGCACCTATATCGATTGTTTTTTCATTAACTTGCAAATCTTTTGGTCGACTTCGTGTTTCGGTGCTGTAAGAGCTGTTATGTATTCCTTTGTGGAGGGCATCTCCAGCTTTGTCTTTAGAGTGCATTTGTCAACATTCGATGACGTCATCGTATCGCGTTTTTACTAATCATTGGTGAGAATTTTCAAACTCTTAAGATGTGAATGACTAGATGTTGCTCTCGATTTTGTCTGCACGCATAAAGAAAAAAAAAAGAAAATAATAGATCTTGGTATTCGGTGATGATTTGGCTATTTACTGGTGAAAGAATTTTTGAAATCTGTTAAGTAGTTTTTGAGATATTTCAATACATATAAAAATATAAATCTTTATAAAATATTAGTAACAAGTTGGGACCTTTTGGGTGTCCTGGACCTTAACAAGTACACCAACAAACGTAGAAACATGTTTTAAACGTTCAAACCATCATTTCGATAGTTTACGCAACTAACGAATCGGACACAAAGGCGATGCAATGCCGTCGAATTTCAAAGAGATATGTTTGACAGACGCGCTTCTTGTATCCACACGTCAATAACTAATCTCATACAACGCACAGGCGGCAACGAAAACAAACACAAACAGGTGACTTATTGCATTACTATTAGAAGCTTCAAATAGTTTTTTTTTTTTACAAAGAAACGCTGTAAATATCTCCCTGTCATATCCGATATTTCAACCGTGTAAGACGTCGTTAAACTGAAGATTAATATGTTGGTTTTCTTTTGAATTTTTGTATAATTTGCATTTATATCTTTCAAGAATAAGTAAACATGAAACGTTTGTTGTTCGGGATTAAATACAAACACTTTACACTATTTATTATGCGACAAGACAAGATCAGTGCCAGTTGCTCAGGGGTTTAAGCACTTGACTTGTAATCTACAGGTCTCGGGTTCGACTCCCGCTATGTACTGTGATTTTCAATTTTCGAAATTCATACGTACATAATTTACCCGACGTTCCTACGGTGATGGAAAACATCGCGATGCCTGCACATATCGGCGAAGAAATTCAAAGATATGTGAGAAGTCAACCCGAGTTGACCATCGTGGTTGACTATGGCATAGTCACCCCTTATTAGGGTTGGCTCCGATCCCCTCAGTGGGGACGTATACTGAGCTGGTGATATTTAAATCGTTTCTAAACATTAGTAAGCCGAACGTATACCTTTTCTTATGATTAAACTAGCTTTCGTTCGCGACTCTGTGTGCAAATAAAAAAGTAACTCCTCTACATCGTGCCAAATTTTATGGAGATCCGTTCAGCAGCTTAGGCTACAAAATGTAACAAACATCCATCCATCTAAACTTTCGCATTTATATTAGATACAAGAATGTTGAATGCTTCCAAATATAACATGCGGTTTCATTTATAGTAATATGATGGAGTTTACACAAAAAAATACACTAGCTTTTTTATTTATTTTTTAAAAATTATGAATAATAGAGAAGTTACATTTTACAACAGTAATTAATGTTACCAGACGTATAAAATTAACTAACAATCAAATTTCAGCAATAAAAATGTTAATATTTAATAGTCTTGGTATGCATAGATAACATAGGATAGTTAAGACCATTATGTGTAGGAAGGTGTACGTAAATCTTTTCCTGGTTGTACTGACCTATTTATCTAGACTATGGTAACTTCAGGATCCCCGGGTTAAGTTTCATCGAAAGCTCCTGATCGGATGACGTTCAGGTCAAACGATATAATCCAATTCATACAAGGAAATATGATCTAATAATCTGCCAAGACCGCAGTCCTTTAACTAACTTACTGGGAATTCTTCCCAGGATAAATTAAGCTTTTTATGATTTTTTTTTATGTTGGTAGACATTGTCTTTATGATAAAAATAATAATAAAATTATTAAATTTGTACGATTTTTTCCGAACGCTCGATAAAAAATATTACAAAGTAGGACGTTAAAAATATTTCTTAATTCCTATTAAATAAAAACGCAATTAATAGGACATATTATTCGTATAAAAGTAAAATCAGAGACCACTTCTATACATAATTTTCGTGCTGCGTCCTTGTTCCTTTGAATTATTTTTTACATAGAAGTCATTGACTGGCCATTCTTGAGGTGAAGAGAATTAGCAGATCTGAATATTGTTTTCGAGAAGATTCTAAACATCGGCCAACAATCGCTACACTATTCGACCGCTGCGAACCATAGAACTCGAGTGGCACTCGCCTTTAGCCCTGTTTTGACTCCGATCTACGTCAAATGATCACTCTATCATAAATAACTCGTGGTTCCAAATTCAAAATGTTTCTTTGGTTGGTCTAGTTCCGGATGTCTGTTGATATTCTATTATGGGTGATAGAAATAAAAAAATATACACGAAGACTAACTGCAGCACTCAGTTTTTAACTAGTTTCTCTTATGACTTGTTTCACTAGACTAGTAGTTTAGTCATGTACCGAGTAATTTAGTAAATAAAATACTCTAGTCTATATGATTTGATGAAACGAGATAACTAGCTATTCGAGTAAATATTCGCTGTTCGGACGAACTGTTACAAACTAGGCATTAAGTAGATTCAGTAGCAAACACTAAGGGTCTTACGGTTCCGATAACGAATCCGAGTACAGTAGCAAATATTGTATACTAGCTATGGCCCGCGACTCCGTCCGCGTAAATAAATGAATCAAAATCTATTAACCTATGTGTTTTACCACACTATTCTCTATGTCTATGCCAAATTTCATCGAGATCCGTTCTGTCGTTTAGGCTACAAACTCTAACAAACATCCGTCCATCTAAACTTTCGCATTTCGCATTCACAAAAGGAAACAGGTTAGAAAATGTAACCTTTTTTATATTTAAAGTTTCCATTGCACATTTGTCGTACACCTATAAAATCAATTAGTGTGCTAGTGTGAAGGACATAGAGACGCTATTGTTGTGACGTAGAGATAGGTCACGTCGCTGCCGGAAACGAAAATGTGCAACAAGACATTTATGCAAGCTTTCTAAACTAATTTAGCATAAGTGAACTAATGTATGATAATTGTTACGTCTTGTATAAACAGAACGGTAAGTTACAGGGTTGTCACGTAACAGCTATTCAATTCAGTAAATTCGACAACTCATTATTTTAAGTATAAATAGTTTGATTATGTATAACAAAACAAAAATTAAATTAATTTAAAAAAAAATGTATTAGATAGGAAAATAAAAATTATGAAAGCTTTATATTTCTGACTAGCTGTTCCCATGCGACTTCTTTCGCATGAAATTATAAAAAAATCATTTTATTTTTCACATTTGTCAAATTATCAATTGCAAATGTCAAAATGACATGACATGATGTCAAACCATGGCAACCTTGTTTCCTTGATATTGGCAACAACTTATGGTCTCTTTCCCACATTAGGGTTTTTATCCAAAATATTTACCCCTAAGTTTAATGGCGTGAAAATATATAGCCTATAGCGTGACGTAAGTGTAGGGCTCTTTATTAAAAAAAAGAGTAATTCGAAAATATGCTGTGATGTGTGTGGTTACGCTTTATTATAATATTATAGATCGTAAAAAAAGAATTATTTGTTATTATGTATGTACATAACGGCTTACATTTCTACATAATATCGAAGTAAAATTTTATTACACAAATGTTGGCACTACTGAAGTTCGAACTTCTTTAATTTCAAACACTGACAACATTTTTCGTGTCAATTCATTCGATATTCGAAATAATGAATGCATTTACACTGTGGCGTGAATTCTAGAAATATCGAAAACATTTTTATAGCGCGAGCTTTGAAAGTTTGCGATCGAGCTTTTGAATCCACTAGAAGCTCAGTCGCGTGTTAATTAAAAATAATTTCATAATATTTTTTTTCCTAACAGATAACTTTTCATTACGATGTCCTCGGTATTTGTAAAGGAGGTGGAAGAGTCTTGAAAATTAATGAACCACTTGCCGTCTAAAAATGGCCGGTTTTACTAAAATACTCGTTAATTTGTACTGCTATAGGAAACTTCGAAATACAGATTTACTACCACAACTTGCAATCTTATTTAAATTATTTTTGTTACCTATTACGCTTTGCACATTCGACAATGACCTTTAAAGGGCAAATGGCTACTGTTTTTTTTCCACCAGTCCCATTCCTTACTAAAGCTATATCTTTTTTTATAAGAAAAGCATGCAAAAGAAACGATTACTAAAATGAGGCGACCGGCATGCAATCTCATCCCAAGAAACAATTGCTTCAACTCGACGCCTGTCTTCTGTTTGGTCATATATTCGGTGCGAGTACCGTGCGTGTTAAAGATCTATCACTTTAAAATAAATCGGTATTTAAAAAGTGTCTCAGTTTTTGTGAATGAATAATCTGGTATAATTAGAAGTGCCGTGGGTGTTGGCAGTCGGCGCGGGCGCGGGCTCAGCGACCGCGGGATTGCTCGAGTTCTATATTATTTTATATTTGTTAACGTGTTTTATTTGACTTACTATTGACTTAATGTACAATTGTGACTATTACTTGTGTATGTATTTTTTTAATCTGTTTTTAGGCTGGTCTTTACTGAGAAATCTTACGCTTTTGTATAACGACCTAGGTTATTTTACTGTTATGCGGAATGTAAGTGTGGTTCATATTTTTAAATA